ATTACCCTTCCCCCTCCTTGTTCAACCTCCTTCTCTTACAGTGGGACTGGAAAAGGAAAATTTCTACTTGGATTTTTAGAACAAGTAAACGTATGACACCATCTCTGTAAAGAATGTCTTCCTAATATCTAACCTAAGACTCCCCGGTAGAGCTTAAAACCATGCCCTCTTGTCTTACTGATAGTTGCCCGGGAGAAGAGCCTGACACCCACCTGGCTCCCCCCTCCTTTCAGGGAGTTGTAGAGAGTGAGGAGGTCTCCCCTGAGCCTCGTCTTCTCCAGGCTAAACAACCCCAGCTCCCTCAGCCTCTCCTCACACCACTTGTGCTCCAGACCCTTCACCAGCCTCCTTGCCCTTCTCTGGACCTGCTCCAGCACCTCCATGTCCTTCCTGAACTGAGGGGCCCAGAACCGGACACAGCACTCCAGGGGTGGCCTCACCAGTGCCGAGTACAACAGTCACTTCCCTGGTCCTGCTGCCACACTATTCCTGGTACAGGCCAGGATTCATTGGCCTTCTTGGCCACCTGGGCACACTGCTGGCTCATGTTCAGCTTCCTGTCAATCCAAACTCCCAGGTCCCTTCCTGCCTGGCTGCTCTCCAGCCACTCTGTCCCCAGCCTGTAGCACTGCAGGGGGTTGTTGTGGCCAAAGTGCAGGACCCGGCACTTGGCCTTGTTGAACCTCATCCTGTTGGAACTAGACTATCTCTCCAGTCTGTCCAGGTCCGTCTGCAGAGCCCTCCTGCCTTCCAGCTGATCGACTCCCTCCTAGGTTGATGTCATCTGCAAATTTGCTAATATTGGACTCAATCCCCTCATCCAGATCATCAGTAAAGATATTAAACAGAACTGGGCCCAACACTGATCCCTGGGGGACACCACTAGTGACCGGATCCCAATTGGATGCAGCCCCGTTCCCCACCACTCTCTGGGCCCGGCCATCAGCCAGTTCCTGACCCAGCACAGAGTGCCCCTGTCCAAGCCATGGGCTGCAGTTTTTTCAGGAGAATGCTGTGGGAGATGGTGTCAAAGGCTTCGCTGAAGTCCAAGTAGACTTCATCCACAGCCTTCCCCTCATCCACCAGGTGGGTCACCTGATCATAAAAGGAGATCAGGTTGGTCAGACAGGACCTGCCCTTCCTAAACCCGTGCTGGCTGGGTCTGATCCCTTGTCCATCCTGTAGGTGCTGTGTGATTGCACTTAGGATGATCTGCTCCATAACCCTGCCAGGCACTGAGGTCAGGCTGATGGGGAATGACTCGCTCTCCCTGAGGGTTTCAGCTTGGGTTGCCACGATTCCCACTGGGAAGAAATAGGCTTTTCTGTGCCCATTGTGTCACCCTAAATTATAGCTTAATTTGTTGCTTGAAGAAGTTCAGATGAGACATTCCCTATTGCTCATTTCTTGTCACTAACAGTGCAGAAAGAGGTGAGAAAATCAAGTGTAGTGATACATCTACTGTAGATGCCCAAAGTTACATGAAATTAATCCTGCCAGATATATATTTTTATGAATGGTATTGGCTCAAAAGATCAATGACACTAAGAAAGACAAAAAGCTGTTATTTTTATTTGCTGCAAATTCTGAATTAGGTTTTGATTCTAACTCCTTTCTAGTTAATATGCAAGAAAGTATAATCTGTGTGAAAATTAATTGAAAATGAATTACTGCCTTATAGCAAGTGAAGTAGGAGCACAGATCTGGTTGGCTAGGAATTTGATTTGTGCTGCATATTAAATGCAGTCCAGGGAGCTGCAGTACATCATGGTGAGGGAGAGAAGTGGACATTTTATAGACTTTTTATGTTTAAATAGATAGTATCTCAAACTTTAGCATAAGCTGCATGAAAGCTGCCAGGTTTAATTCTGCAAGGCCTTCTTTTGCTAAATTACTTCCATTTTAATTGGTGGTGAGGGGATGGACTCCCAAATCCATTCTGACAAGTTGATATTACAGTAAAAGATCTGATGAGATGAAAGTCCCAGAAAGGCATGCAAAACACAGCAAGTCAAGCTGTTCCCTGTGGAATCTGGTACCAGATTCCTCTAAACAGCATCTCAAATTTGAGACCATATCTGGACTGTTATATCTGCTGGGTTTGGGGAGAAGGCAGGAGGTTGTGAGGCACCTCTCCCCTCCTCTTCTCCTATTGCAGGTAAGGAGGCAAACAGGGAGCTGTTGCCAAGGGGATTTGTGGAAAACCCACACAGATCAAGGGATTACAGCAGCAAAGATGTTTCAAGTTTGATGTACCAGCCTGGCAGAGGAGGTATGTTTGTCAACTCCCTGGGAAAGGTTTGGAGGAGCACAAGGCATGGGTCCTTCATAAGTGAGATGGGGATATGGTCCCTTCTCCAGCACACAGAGAAGGGAATCTGGGGATTCACAGTGTGAAGGCCTGGAGACTTTCTTTCCTTGAAAAGCAAGGAAAAGAAGAAAGGAAATAAAGCCTTCCTTAGGAAACCACTTGGAGAGAGCATTGAGCTGAATGCTCACAAAAATCATTATTGCTTTATGTACATTTCTCCAACACAGAGATCAATTTTCACTCCAGACAACAACAGAGTAAAGCTCAACTATTCCTTATCAGCCTGTACAGGACAGATGATTCATGGCCAGTCTTCGCGAATGAAGATTTGGGAAAGGTCATTACCCTTTGAGCCTGCGCAGTGGATTTTTTAGGTGAGACACAGTGTGTGCTGAACTGAGCCCACCCAGATGAATCCTGAGGTTCATCTGCTGGGGCCGAGCAAGCTTGGACGGTGGCAGAGAGGTCCTCAGGACGTAGGTTTGTTTAGAGTGACCTTCTCTTAGATGGATGGCCTTACAGGGCTGACGAGCTCCATCTGCCCGGAGGGGTTCCCTGACCAGGAATCGAACCTGGGCCGCAGCGGTGAGAGCGCCGCATCCTAACCACCAGACTGTTGAGAAAATCTTAGATGATGCAGGACATATACTGCATCAGGCCTGCTTGCACAATCTGGCCTGCATTTTGGATGGCAGGGACCTGTGTTCTCCAGCAGCAGATGTGTGTCCTTGAGCAGCAGATATCAGAAAGCTGCATAGAGGAAAACAAGGAAGGAGGATGCTATCCAGAGTGTGAGAAACCAGAAGATGGGGGGGCCTGAAAATGTGCCTTGGCTAGTAGAGTCAATGAAGTTGTAGATATAGTGTGTGAAAGTGAATGTAACCAATAGAAAGTTAGAACAGAGCGTGTGAACCCTGTAGGACCCTTGATAATGTGTGTATTTTTGGAATAAAGTTAGAGCATTGCCTGTACCTCTATGAGGATGTGTCTCTGACTCTCGAGCTCGTTTTTTGCATCTTCTCCTTTTACCAGACCACCAGGGAACCCAGGACAGATGAACCACACTGTGAAAGCTCCCTGCTTTTAACTCTTCAAAGCAGAGGAAGATCTCAGATTTGCGGTCCTTAACTGTTCAGTGTATCCCTGAAAAGCTCAGGCTTGTGCCTTTCTGAGTCTTCAATTTGGCTTCTGAGAAAAGAACTTAAGTTGATACCATCATAGTTTATTGAGCCATAACTATGGAAAGGACTCCTTGACTCCTTCTGGGAAATGGTCTTCTAAACCAATCTGTCACTGTAAGACAAATGGGAGACATACTGAAGAAATAAATTTTTTTTATATAGACAACATCCCGTTTTATTCTAAGCCTGACCTATAACTTCTTTTAACTTGCAGACATTAATAAAGCAAAGAAAATAATAAAGAACTGAAACTAACAGAAAGTATCATTTCAAATGTAGTTCTCATCAATTTTTTCAACCTAGTGTAAAAACATTTTGAAACCTGGTCTTTAATTCAAGATAAACGTAAAAAAAAAAAAATTTAAGCATGAATCATGTTTCTTCAGAAATTTCCCTTCAGTTTCATTCAGAATTCCATTCAAAATCCTATTCTTTTACAGTCCTGACCTGCTATTTTAGACAGGTAAGTTTAGAAACTTTAGGGAGACAGAACTGTGCGAGTTCTCCTACAATTCTTAGTTGTGAGAAAAGGGAAATATAGCTGGAGGCACATCTACTTAATAAGCAAATTATAAAGCAGAGAATAGAAGATGAGTTGTTCTTTCTTCTTGTGTTTTAGTTGTTCTTTATGTGTATCAGTATTAACTCAGATTCTCATTCACTACAGATCTGTAAGACACAGACACTTCCCACATTCCTCTCCTGTTTGTGAGACATTGAGAAGAAAGACATGGAAGTGGCACATAAATTCCAGTAAATCTTTTGATCTCTGTAGCTGAAACATAAAGGGGCACCTCAGTGAAAGTACTCCTATAGGGCAAATATAACTGAGGTTATATCCCAGAAATAAATCCCAAAGCAACACTACATGTAACAAACATGATACAGCTTATGAGCTTTTAAATTCAGAAAGGAGTGATAACTGCCCTGTGCTGGAGGATTTCTTCTTGTTAGAAGACAAGATAGCTGCTATCACTGCAATGAAAAAACTAAGAATTAATAAAAAACCCCAAACAACAACTAACAATAAAGTATCTTTTACCTAAACATCATTACACAAGTAAATTCTTACTTCTTCTCTTCACAAACCCTCTTACTCATGCATGTTCCTCTTTATAATATAAGAAGTTCACACTACAGGAAGAAAAAAAATGCCATGTGTAATGCTACGTGTAAAAGCAAACAGCAGTAGTAGAAAACATACTAAAGCTTCACTTACTGCTCTCTAGCACACAGACATTGTAGCAACTTCTCAGATACTCTCCTTCCCAAACAAATACTGCATGCAGGACTAGAGTTTCTGAAAGAAAATCTGTTGTTCATGTATGATGGAGATTTCTGAACACCTTTTTCTTTACAATGACACTGTCCCTCTCTTTCACTTTTCTTAGTTGATAACTTGCAAACATGGATCTTTTATATTAATTTCATTCGTTTCTGACTTTTTAATGCAAAATCAGATACTATTGTGCTTGAGCTGTAGAAACAAATCAGACTCATTCACTTCATTTGGGCAACAACAATTTTATTTCTTGAGGTGCTACATCCAAACTTAGCAGCCTGTGTTTTCAGGTAATCCATTAACCCAGAAATGGCAATCCTGCATCTAGGCTCTCTTTTCCTGTGTCATCCCTTTGATCCCTCACTGAATATATGATTTGTCATTCTTTGTACTAAAGTAACGAGTAGCTTAGAAATCTACTTCAAAATAGATAAAAAGCCCACTGCAGCCAGGTGTTTCTCCTCCTGAGAAACACCTGGCCAATTTTATACTGTTCACTCCCTCTCTTCAAGAACTAGTTCACTTTTCTTATTTATCAGCCAGGGACCATGACTGGTGGCACAAAACATGCAGGACAGGAATTAAACTTCCCAATTTGCAATGACCTTTATATAAAGGGAAAGTAAGAGCTGTTTTCCCAGGAGGTAGAGTGCACTTGCAGTTCCCATTTTAAAGTCACTTTGTCTTCTTTGAAAAGAAAGTCCATTAAGTCCAATGCACATATTCATACTGTTTTGAGATTTGCTGTTCTTAGTGGCACATAGTGCCAGTTCAGATTTGGACTCACTTGAAGAACACAAATTGCAATCCCAAATTGTAATATTTTCACATTTTTTTAGTGCACACCTGAAATTTAAATTACTTACTGGCAAATTGGGGGTTAATTATTCATTATTTTAAATTATTCATTTTTAGCACAACCCCTGCATACCACCCACAGGGCGTTGTTTATTTTTCTTTTTATATAAAGTAATTTTACAAATACTAAGGGACTGTAAAGCTAGAAAAGCCCTCCTACATTGCCAAATCCAAACAGCTATTAGCAAACATCCATCTGTGTTGCTGTCCTCATTTTCACATACTTCCACTATAAAATTTTCTTGGGAGGATTAAAATTCTATTTTGTCTTGCAGAAAGGGCAGGGCTGAAAGAGAGCTATGCCCATCAGCATCTCAGATGTAGTTAGCAAGCCAGAACCTCATTGCCTCAATAATCTGGTGTTTTTAGGAGACTTTCTTTGACAGAGCTGAGCCATCTGCTTTGCTACCCATTGAGACTTCTCCAGGGGCAGCTGTAAGGGACTGTCCTCCAGGCACACCTCCTGTGCTGACCTCTCTCAAGATGGTGTTTCACAGTGTTGAAACTGCCTGGGAGCTTCCATATTTTTTTCTTAGATCGTGTAAAAAAAGGGTTCAAAGCATTATCTAGGAAAAAAAAGAAAAAAGGAAATTAGTCTCTCTTTTTCAATTTTATGCTGAAATTCAAGCTACTGCAAGCCATATGGCTACTCTTCTACTGCTCCAGGGATCATTAAAACAGGGTGCCAGCAGAAGTGGATCAACAAGCTTGACTGTCTGGAAGGAAAACAGGAGGCAAATGTCTCTGTGAAAGTTTAACTCTAGCACTGCTTTCTACTGTGACAGAATTGTTCTGGAGATAGAGATGTATCCCTTCAGTACTTCCACACAGGCCCTATCACCTTCATTCTCCAAGCAAGAGACTGAAGAAAAGATTTTTTGAGGTATTTATGTGGTGTTTACTTTGTTGTTGTTGTTGCTTACTCTCAAATTTTTCTCTTTGGATCAAAATTATTTGCAAGCCTTTTATTTACCAACAGTCTCTACAGGACAGACAGCAAGTTGCAAATCCCTCATCATCTTCTCTTCCCTTCACCATTCCAGTAGCCCAGTGGTTGGGACACCCTCCTGAAGCCAGAAATACACCTGTCCTCTCCCTGGTTTCCACTTCCAACATCCCAGATGAGTATGAGAGCCACTACTAATCTTTCTACTTAACTCCAGTCTGTGCTTGAAATCTCACAGCACAGCCTGCCCTCCCACCCCTGCTGCCACAAATCCAAATCTTCTGAGCAATATAAAAGCCACCTGCATGCTAAATATATGAAGTAATTAAAGCAAGATAAATGAAACAGGAAGGTTTTCATGTCCTTTGGCCTGGACAGTCTGGAATGAGGCATCCCACTTTTTCAGGTGAGTGATGGAAGTGACACACTGTTATTTAAAAGGCCACGCATCTTGAGTGAAGTGGGAATCAATTATTGCTTATATGTTAATATAATTAACCCTAAGCAATACCAAGGTCTGGAGGTGGGGTGTGTGTACATGTTTGCTTCCAGTACTGACTTTACATTTTGGATATTGTTTTGTGGTAGATTTTGTTAAAAGGGTGATGACTTGATTCAAACTTTTCACAGCCACTGAGATGTGGAAAGCAAACAAGATTCTACTCATAGAAACTAGGTCTTTACAGTGATGTTTCAGTGGTCACTAATTGTGGCAGGAATAACAAAACCCAAATGGAAATGGGTTTATGTTAAGTATCATATTAATACAATATCAATACATGAGCTCTGCTTTCTGTTCTCAGAAAAACAGGGTCCTGCATTAGGTCTACTTTACAGAAGTCAAGACTGTAGGGACAGACATATCCAGAGCAAATTCTCTGTAATTCTGATAAAGCCAAGACTCTTCTGACTGAACTGTCTCATGGCTCTGGGTCTCTTAAAGACACAAGGTGGCACAACAGAGTATAGTCAATGCACAAACATCAACCATCAAGAACAGCATCCAATTCCTGGAACAAGTTATCAGGGAAATACAGCAACATGGATTTTAAATGTCATTCACATCTAGATCACCTGCTCAGACAGAAGTACAACTGTATGGAATTACCTCATTTCCTTCTTTTCCTGCTCATCCTCTGATCCAAGCAAGCAAGCTGTTTCCAGCCAAGCACGGCCCCAATATTCTTGCTTCAGTTTGGCAACTAAGTCTCCTAAGGAAGCTTCTCAGGTTTCTTTGCTTTGTTTGTTTTCTGTAATTGAGGTTTTGTTGTGGTGATTTTTTTGTTTGTTTTGTTTTCAAGGGAGAGAGAAGCAATTATTTTAAATGCTAAACAATTACTTAAAAAAATTTCTATATTCCATTCAATATTTGCCATACAATGTTTGTCTCGTAACACCCAGGAGCTTTAACGACAGACATATAAGAGGTGCTCTTGGCACAGTGTCTGGCCCTTGGCAATCATCTTCCTTTGCTGCCAGTGGCAGAGACTGAAGCCTGAAATCTGGACTCACTCAGGACTTGGCAGTCTCCAGGTGGAAACACAACCCACCATCTGCCATACCAAGGCCCTAACAGATTATGCTGTTACCTTTCTCTCTGCTGGTGTCCACCAGCAGCCTGAATGGATTAATTGCCTTTGTGTTCCTTATAAAGGAAGGCAGCACAAATTATTCAGGCTGTTGTAATGATCTTCACCTGCTCTGCACTCATGTAGGGGCTTGGTTTGTGTTCATATCATCCTACTGGATAAGATTGTGAGTATTTGTGTGGCTGCAAGCACATGTGCTCAACATTTTTTATAGAACAAATACTCAGCACAGAAGCAATTACTCAAGGGCTTTATGCTGGTTTTGCCATCAGGCTTTTGTAGCATTTGTACAGCTTTTTTGTCTTTACCACCATATTTAATTCCAGGTAGATGTTACTAGCAGGTTATTTGGTAAGTCCTTTGGCAGTGCTTGGGTGAAATTGGTTTATGTTTCCTAAACAAGGTCAACAAGACTTGTCAGCAGGATGAGTTATAGGAGTTGCTCAACTTGGTGGGAGATGCCCCAAAAAATAATCAATTCCCCAGCTGTTTGGGTTTGGTTTTAATGTGGTTATGCTGATGAGTTTCTAATACAGTACAGGCAGTATTGCTTTTAGGAAGATGAGATAGTTCGAGGGATAAGGAGGAAGATTCACTTTAAGCTATCAGAGTTAAAGCAATGTTCCTGCTTGTCTCTTCTGCTGCCCCCCAATAGGGCAAACTCAAATTGATGCAAATACTCCTACATCAACACAAGGTAATATAGAAAGTGAAATGAGCTATTACAGTAGAATGCATATTTTCTATGTTTTTACCTGCAGCTGCATTTATGGCTTTTACTGACGTAGTTAAGTCAGCTAGTTACAAAAAAAATTTTAAATCTACCAGCTGACATAGTTATGCCACTAAATCCTTCCAGTCACAAAGCTGAACCCAGAAATAAGCTGTAAGAGAACTGAGCATTAATGGTGTTCCTAAGTCAATTATTCTGTAGCTTTTCAGTTGGCACTGGCAAATACAAAGCTCTGGTTTTGGTGATGGAGCAGATCATCCTGAGTGCAATCACACAGCACCTTCAGGATGGACAAGGGATTAGACCCAGTCAGCACGGGTTTAGGAGGGGCAGGTCCTGTCTGACCAACCTGATCTCTTTTTACGATCAGGTGACCCACCTGGTGGATGAGGGGAAGGCTGTGGATGTGGTCTATCTAGACTTCAGCAAGGCCTTTGACACTGTCTCCCATAATATACTCCTGGAAAAGCTGGTAGCCCATGGCTTGGACAAGTGTACCCTCTCCTGGATTAGGAGCTGGTTGGAGGGTCGGGCCCAGAGAGTGCTGGTGAATGGAGCTGCATCCAGCTGGCAGCCGGTCACCAGTGGTGTTTCCCAGGGGTCTGTGTTGGGTCCAGTCCTGTTTAACATCTTTATTGATGATTTAGATGAGGGGATTGAGTCCATCATCAGCAAATTTGCAGATGACACCAAACTGGGAGGGAGTGTCGACCTGCTGGAAGGCAGGAGGGCTCTGCAGAGGGATCTGGATAGACTTGAGAGATGGGCTGATTCCAATGGGATGAAGTTCAATAAAGCCAAGTGCCGGGTCCTGCACTTTGGCCACAACAACCCTATGCAGTGCTACAGGCTGGGCACAGAGTGGCTGGAAAGCAGCCAGGCAGAAAGGGACCTGGGGGTACTAATTGACAGGAAGCTCAACATGAGCCAACAGTGTGCCCAGGTGGCCAAGAAGGCCAATGGGATCTTGTCCTGTATCAAAAATAGCGTGGCCAGCAGGAGCAGGGACGTGATCCTTCCCCTGTACTCTGCGTTGGTGAGGCCACACCTTGAGTATTGTGTTCAGTTCTGGGCCCCTCAGTTCAGAAAGGATATTGAGGGGCTGGAGCGGGTCCAGAGAAGAGCAACAAGGCTGGTGAAGGGACTGGAGCATAAGTCCTATGGGGAGAGGCTGAGGGAGCTGGGGTTGTTTAGCCTGGAGAAGAGGAGGCTCAGAGGTGACCTCATCGCCGTCTATAACTACCTGAAGGGAAGTTCTAGCCAGGTGGGGGTTGGTCTCTTCTCTCGGGCACTCAGCAATAGGACAAGGGGGCACGGGCTTAAGCTCCGCCAGGGGAAATTTAGGTTGGATATCAGGAGAAAATTCTTTACAGAGAGAGTAATCAGGCATTGGAATGGGCTGCCCAGAGAGGTGGTGGATTCACCATCCCTGGAGATTTTTAAACGCAGATTGGACGTGGCACTGAGGGCCATGATCTAGTAAATGGACTGGATTTGGACCAAGGGTTGGACTCGATGATCTCGGAGGTCTTTTCCAACCCAATCGATTCTATGATTCTATGATTCTATATTGTTCTGACCTCAGCCTTCATAGACACTGACAACTACCCATGTCAACCAAAGTCTGCAACTGAGAGCTGATGCTGGCTTGTTCTGAGGAGACAGGTCTGCATCAATATGGAACTCCCCTGGTGCCAGAGAACTAAACATCACCCCAGTTGGTTCTATTTCATCCATAACAAGACATCCTCACTTCAGAAAAACACTATCTGTGCTGCAAAAGCCAGGCAAACAGCTTCCCAATAAATCCAAACCCTCAATGGACAAGAATGGAGACAGTCTTTTGCAGTACTTAGCCTGCAGCGGAGCCAACATGCTCTACTGAATGAAGCTTTGTGGAGACAGAAAGGCTCCTTCAGTCAGGTTGAAAGGAACCTCAGGAGGTCCATGTGAACCTGAGAAGCAGCAAATCAATACCCCATTACAGCCAGCACATCACCTGCTGCTTTGTGTACATATTGCTAATTCAATTAAATTGGATTAAAAATATTTTCCAAGAACTTGACTGTGAGGGACTTCACCAGTTATGACTTTTGTAACTGAATTGCAGTGTTCGTAAAATCTCACTGCAGGAATTCAACTGCTCCAGCCTGATACAGTAACAAACCACAAACAGGAAAGGGCAAGTTATGACCACTGGCAAGAAGTTTATAAGATGGACTTCAGTGAACACAAGAGAAACAGACATGAGGAGCAGCAGCCAGCAGATGAAGGCACCGTTTCAAATAATGTTCAATTTGTCCAAGGCCTCTCAAACCTTGTTCAGCACCAGCCAAAGACAAAATATCTTCCCTCCTAATACCAACCTGGGCACTGGGCAGTCTTATGTAAAAGACATGGCACTGCTCCCTTTGAAGCACAGCTGGTAAGTATGGATAGCACTCAGCTATCCAAGTTTTCCAGCAAATGTGTCAATGTCTTCACAGAAAGGACTTATGTTCCATGCCAGTCAGGGGATGTTTTCCCATGACAATCAAAAGGAAACCTGTACCACAGCCAATAGCTGCCTTCTTTCATTATCCTGGCAGCTCTCCCTCTTACCTACAGGCCTGTGTCTTTGTTAGGTTCATTTGCTCTGTGTGCAGTAGGAACCTCATCTGTTGTATCAAGAGAACAGCTACCTCTGTTTTGCCCTTGGCAGCCAAGATACTGAACCTCCCCAGGGGCTCCTTTTTATCTTCTCTCCTCCCCAGGCAGCTACAGCAGTTTGCTATCCATTCAAAATGGATGAGTGGCTCTCCTGGTTTAGATTTTACCTTTGTATTATTTTCTCTCTTTTGGGACCATGATCTTAAGGTTGTTTGCTGAAGACAAAACTCTTAGCAAGTCCAAACTGCCTCCCTTTGTTTCTGACCATTTGTAGTGGTTTGGACCTTGGTTTCCCCAGAGGCTAAGAGAAGTGGTAGACCCCAAGGGGTGGAAACCCCTGGAAGTTTTGAAGTTCTGCCCAATGGGCGCTCCTGCAGAAATGTAAACATATCACAACCAGACCGGAAAAGAAGAGTTGTAGTTTGGTGGTTGTAGGAGAGGTGGCCATGTTGTAGAGCCACGAGGAAGGGGCTCTGAGCCCCTTGGCCCTCTGGGGCCTCCCAGCCCCTGGCTGGGGGCTGCAGGGACCTGGAACAGCATAAAGCTGGGCTAGGTGCCTGTAGTTATGCCGGGAGATGTTTTCTCCATGGGCGCAGAGCAGCAGCCGACACTGACCAGAGAAACGGTGGCAGAGAGTCAGGACAGATAAGGACCTGAACTGAAGGAGCAGCAGAAGCAACATGCAGCACCGCAGAGAAGACTCCTGGAAGGAGAGTCGAGGAAAGGAGAGCCAAGAGACAGAGTTCTGGGGGTAAGACTGTACCACACTCCCCCAAAACTCCCTTGAGACCCCTCTTGGAGAAGAGGGACATAGACTCCTATTATGGAGAGCAGTTTTGGACATGCAGCACCGGAGAGAGAGGAGCTGAGAAGCTCAGAGCGTCCTAGAGCTGGACCGGGACGGCCAGATGGAATGCGGGGGGAGTTGACCTTGGCTCCCCCCCCTTGCACTGCTGCCACGGTGGCAGCCTGAGAAACAGGGCACAGAGGCCCTGCAAGAGATACCAGACCGTCACGAAGACCCCCCTGTGTCTTCGTGATATGACGTGGTGAAACGACCTTGTCTGGGGTTACGAAGCCCACGGAAGACCCCTCGGTTGTGAGGCGATGGGGCCGAGAGAGGCTTGGATACCTCCCTCGTGAGAGCTGGCAGAAAGCCAGCTATCAGCTGCTGCATGCATGAGAAGAAGAAACCTGCTGCCTCAGAAGATGCTGCTGTTCAGAGACTGGAAGGGATCTGTCCTTCTTTCCCTCCTGGACTTTTATTTGGAGGAGAGAA